GGACCAAAATTAAAGTTATGAGACCTTTAAGTTTAGTTTTATTTTGCTTTTTTTCCACACTGAAAAATTAAAATTTATGATTTAAAAGTGCTCTAAGCATTTAGGTAATAGATCTGGTTTACTACTTAACAGGAAGTTAAAAAGCCTTTCAACATTTTATAGAGCTGGTGAGAATCCTGTATGAACTTGTCCCTGACTCTCTGCAGAAGAAATGGCTGTAGGGAAAGTGGGAGTTGGCTATAGGCGGATGTATTTACTTTTCTCTCATGTATTGCCATGATTATTACTTTCCCCCTTATTCTCTTGTTAACGATAGTTTTTTAAACTGAAATTTATTGCCTAATATGAGAAGAAAGAAGAAAGTTGTAGCATAATCTCTTTCCTCTGAGAAATATGTATGAGTTTATGGTCAAATAACTATAGGCTTGAGTTGCAGTGCCTACTTAGTAAGTTATGTGATAATCTCTGTGGGCCTCAGTTTCTATGTCTGTAAAATGGGCACAATAGATACCTACTTTCAAAAATTATATGCCTAGAAATGCACATGGTCTGTATATTAGGACTAAATTTTTAGTTCATTTTCCTTTATTTCCTATTTTTGAAGATAACTTGTTAGAAAAAAAAACTGTTCTGAGGGAATTCCTTTTAGAAATTTATCCATTTTTATTTTATGTGTCTGAGTGTTTTGCCTGCATGTATGCATGTGCAATATGTGTATGCAATGCCCAAAGAGGCCAGTAGAAGGGCTCAGATCCCCTGGAACTGGAGTTACAGGTGGTTGTGAGGCATCATGTGGGTGCTGGGAACTGAACCTGGGATGGCTGCAAGAGCAGCCAGTGCTCTTAACCACTGAGCCATCTCTCTAGCTCACTCTGAGGGAATTAGTACCGAAAAATAATTACCAGCAAAGTAGTGAAGCACACAGAGCCATCTAAGTGGCTACCTTTTAAATGCACTTTTAACTTCATAATTCTCTGTGATTTCTGCATTTACTCAGATAGGATTTTCCTTAGACTATCAAGTCTGGTGGAGCACTTTACTTATCTGAGGTCACAGATTGGGAAGTAGGCAGAACAGAAAGCAAACCTTTTTTAGGGAGTGGGGCATTGAGATAATATCTTGCTGTGCTTCTGAGGTTGGCCTGAACCTTTCCATCTTCCTGACTCAACTGCCCCAGTGCTGGGATTACAGGCACGTGCCACGTCACCCTGCTCAGCGAGAGAAATCTTACCGTGTCTTTTATCTTTTTCCATTTAGAACAGGAGCTTCTTATCAGAGTTTTAAAACAATTCTGCCTGTAGGCAACAACATGGAAGATGCCTCAATATATATATAAAAAAAGACTGTGGGTATATTTCAGTATATAAATCCTGTGGATTGGGTTCAAGATATAGCCAATCAGTACCAAAGATACACTATAGGGGATGGGCTAGGGTTAGATAACAAAGGGTAATATTACTCTCTCAGACATAACTGTGTTGCACGTGTATGTGTACTCATGCCTTCAAAGTACGCTATTAAACATTTAAATAAAGGGAAACATCTCTCCCTAACATACTTCTAAGCCAATTTAGAGGTCATTGAACAGATGTCATATAATACTAATGTTAAATTACCTTGGGTAATAAGAAAATTACAGTACCTAAGTGAAGATAGTAAAAGGAAACCATGCAATGAATTACTCTAGAATTTCAAAATGTAATGATATCTTCAAAATTAACAGTGGCACCATATGACTTTAGAAAAGTCAATCTGATAGGGAACAGGGAAATCAGAGACAAAAGTGAAGCTTTTCTGTGTTTACGTATGCTGTTTTTTGACTTATTATTATTGTATATGGCAAGACATTTATTAAAATCTGACTAACTTCCCATTGAGTTGTTTAATATGAAATCACAGTAATCGTTCCTTGTGTGTATATACTTCCTTTTGCTATTAGGCATACTTAAAAGCCTAATTATTTTGAGAAAACAGTATGACCAAAGAATAAAAGTGTATAAAGTTTGACAACTTTAAACAATCACTAGCATTTCTTAAGAGCAAACCTCACAGTTAGGAAACAATATTTGTATTTAAGGTTGAAAAGCCAGGATGTAGGAAAAGTTTGCTAATTTGAAAGATGACCTTTAGGTGCACCAAAACCAAATAATTTGTAGGCTATGACATGGGGCACATTCCTACAAAATTTGTGTGAATACTGCTTTAGTGGTTCTTGAAAGACAAAGAAAGCTGGAATGAAACCTTTACTCCCCTCCCAAATAAGCCGGAGCCTAACAGAGGAGCACAGCAGCACTCTTTCAGAGTTCACCATTCAAACGAGGTTTCTGTAGCACAGTTAGAGATGGTTCGGAGTGGAAAACAATCTGTTTTTAAGAATGTTTAGATCAAAAGTAATTTCTAATCTATGAAATAAAGTCTCTTCAATACCCTTCATTCACCAGTAAAGCTTTTATGTTTGTATTATTTACTTCAATCAGATGTTTTCAATTTTACCTTCCCCCCTCGACAAATACTTGACATGGTTCATCAATACTGACCAACAGTTTTAACCTTTTTCTTCAGAAAAGAGAGATTTTTCAGAGAGGCAGAATGAAAAAGAGAGAAACATCTTTGCCTAAGCGATTTGCAAGCATATGTGCTTTAAGCTACTTTTTATGAACACTCCTTAGTAAATGACTCAAGGTAAAAAAGCAGAAAAGCATGCAATGTTAGGAGATTGCAATCCAATACCATGTAATTTAAACCTGCAGTTGCTTCTCTTGTACTAAATGACATACAGATGGGTAGCTTACTTCTCTCAGCTTTGGGAACACAATTGGTCTCTTTTTGTATGAATGAACATATATTAACCAAAAATATTTTGGACAGAATTGCTTAATTCTGATTGCACAGATTTTAATTATTGATTCCATTGGAACGAATAATTTTAACCAAGATAATTTGTCATGTTAAGTTTCTAATTAATGAACTTTTGGAAAAAAATAACAAAAATACTTTTCCTACAAATAAATAAAAACAAAATAACTTTTAGGAAGCTTCCAGGAAAGTGAACAGAAATTCACCTATCACTGTGCACCGATTTAGGTAAAAAACAACCCTTCTTCATTCAGGTTGATCAAATATTAATCAGGGAAACATTTCTATCTACTCCTTAAGCAGCAGTAAGAATATAAATAGGGTTACTGACACCAGGATGAAACCTGGTGTTTTATGGACTCCATAGATGGAAGCTCTCAATGCCATTCCTGATGTGCCAGGTGTTCCTGGGGCTCTTTCTAGGACAAGAGATGACCAGGCTATGAAGTGCAGAAGTGCCTAGCCAAGGTTATCTTTCTGTTTGGCTTTGGTTTGTCCTTTTTCTGCCTCTCTTATTTTCTAATAGAGAACCAGCAGTCTTTCTTGGTGGCCCTGATTCTGGAAGCTGATACCTCTCTTCAGTCCCACAATCAGGATAACTGGTTAATTTTTGCTGAGTTTAACCTCAGTGATTTCATATTCTGTGATGTTAGGTGCCTTGAAGAATAAAAAAAGAAACATTTCCACTCCTGAATCCTATTTTGTTATATTTCAATAGAAGGTGAATTTAATATTCAGGCACCAAGAAGGCTTTCTTTTAGAAATTTCAAAATATAGCCAAAAATCTTTGCAGCTAAATCCACCTGGGAGCTTCTTTTGCACTGTGATGGATGACAGACAAAGGAATTTTACTGCAGTGAGTAACTGCTGCCCTGTTCTGGAGTTAGATTTCTTTTCAATCACTTGCACAGGTAAAATAAAAACTATATATAAATAGGTGTTGCCTGAACATTATCCTGCAGTCTGCATAGGACGAAATAAAAAGCTGCCTTTGCTATTAGAGTTACATTAAAATAATTTCATCAGTTCAGAAGCACTTAATCAGTGAAATCTTCCTAGATAGACTTTGTAAAAATAAAGTATAAGCCTCTAATTAAAATCACAGTCATGCTTATGATTTTCTTTGTCTTTTCTTCCTACTTTTTCTGTCTTTGAAATTTCTTGAATCTGCATTGCTTTAAACAAATGCCTTCTTGTGTAGTCTACTGAAAGCTTTTTGCCCACATGGTGAGATGCAGTTTTCAGGAAAGCACTTATTTCTAAGGACCCTACATAACCTAGTGAAGAGTCTGACAGAATCACAGAAAACAGCAATTCCAACTTGTAGAAACTATATCTTTAGGGTTCTTAGGAAAGCAAACAGATGGCAGTTAAATCCATAATGAAGATCGAATGAAATGGCTTCGAGTTGCAAAACTATTGAATGGAGAGTTTGACTTAATATGCCCATCATCTAATATATACAGTGTGAATACTTGCAGATACGTGTGCTATTGAATTCATTTTAAAAGGGGTGATATAAATCAGGTGATAGAAAGGATATATCACGTGATCTTGCAAATGTCCAGTGAGTATCACAGTTGTGACTGTCCCACATTGTCACTGCTCCAGAGGAATCACTTGGATCTTGATGTACATTCTTTTGAACTTAGAGAAATAATCAGCTGCAGCTCAGGTAAGATTTTCTAGTGCATTAGGGACTGGTCTGGTCATTGACAGGCACCATAGAAACCGAGATGTGGCGGCCAGCCAAAGCAATTATTTAGGATTCAAGCTAAAAAATGCCTCTTTCTCCCATATCCTCTCTCTTTCCAGGGTCATGTAGGGATAAAAAGAACTGTAAGGTGGTCTTTTCCCAGCAGGAACTGAGGAAGCGGCTGACACCCCTGCAATACCATGTCACTCAGGAGAAAGGGACCGAAAGGTAATGTGTGCAGTAAAGAACAGTCAGTAAGCAGGAGCTACTTTTCTTTCTTTTCCTGGAGTCTTCTTCCTTGCTAATTTATTAAGAATTCTGTATTTACCAGCTGAGAGTCTGCAAATTAGTATCTTTGAAAAAGTTGCAAATGACATTGTTTAGGTTAAGCCTAAATTTTATTGTTTTTCCTCCACTTAATGAACGCTCTATCTTATATAAAGTCATAGGGTTTTTGTTAAGGGCCTGTTTTTAGTTTACAACAAAATGTGTGGAAGTAATAGCGATTTAGGTACATTTTTGGGGAAGACATCACAGTAAGCAAAACCATGAGCGACGTGGAGCTGTGCCAGGATGCTGAAATTCTGAAGGCGGCCATTGTAAGTATAGACGTTTTGGCCGCAAACAGAAGGTAGCATAATTTAGTTCCTTTCCACCCGACTCCAATTTCTTTTTGAAGCACATGTGGAGAAAGTATTTATTGGCTCATTTGTGGTTGGAATGTCAAAAATTTTCAATAACTGCCCTCACATGGCTTTGGTCCTTGGAAATTCGCCCTACATCCTGAAAGAAAAAAGTTTGTTCACTTCCAAGACTGTTTTTAGTGAATAAAGTATCTCTCAGCTGATTCCAACTCAAAAGTAACTTGCCAAGGTCCAATGATTTTGTTGTCTAATTTATACCATGGTGCTTGGCACAAAGCTGTGAACTTACCTCTGATCCAGATTTATTAATGATGTAACTTTGTGTTTTCATTCATGAGCTGAAAGGGCTCTTTACCACACATGGGATCCTTGCTAATAGGCAACACACTCTTCCTGTCACAGAATCTACTGGTTACTGAATTTACTAAATGTTGAATCTCTGAGCCAGTGCTGGGCTACAGTCTCGATGCAGAGGACTTCTGCCCATCCTGTTGTGTGCACGACTAGCAAAATGATTTAATGCACACAAACAACCAGAGATTAGGTCATTCTTAAAAATTCTGTTTATAAAAAAATTGGACCTCGTAAAGAGGGTGCAAGGATAATAAAAACAAGCTGCAGAGCACATAGACTTTTTGTTGGGCTACCACAGCTGATTTGTATTAGCTGAGTGACCCCCTAGCCTTTAAGATTGTTAACTTAGAAAAATATTCCCTTAAAGCTGCAATATTCCTTTTCAAACCAAAAAATAAGACTCCTTCCACGCGAAGTCTTGGACCCTCCTCCATTTTCTCCACTCTTGAATGGTATAGAGGAGCAGACAGCTTATGCAATAATGTTCCTTCTATAAATAAAACCTTAAAAAATAGCAAAAAACTCTAGGCATTATGCAACTAGATGACTTGATTTTTTAAAAATGTATAACCTGCACTAGTTCTGAGTAGTTAATATGAGAATTTTATTGTATAGATTTGAAATATATCTGTATTTTTCAGATTTCCATATGTATGGTCTGTTCTCATTTTAGGGCAAAAAGGTCTGAAAAGATTTATTAGAGAAATGTATTTTAAGCAAATGTGTTTTATAAGAAGTAATGCTAATTTCATTAATGTTTTTTGATGATCTGTTTACTGTTTATTAGTGCCTTTGAAGGAGAATACACACATCACAAGGATCCTGGAATATATAAATGTGTTGTTTGTGGAACTCCATTGTTCAAGTAAGTACACTGGAAATCAGTAGGTGTGGGTGTACTACGTATAGCAGAAAATCCTTGGAATCTCTCCTTCCCTGAACTTCATTCTGTCTTTTTCTATATCTGTTTATTCTTGAAAAACAAAAATAATTATTACCTCTCCTGATGAATTACTAGTGCAGTAGACTGACATATTTTGCACTGTTTAGAATTTTAAAATACCCAGCATTAACTTGTTCTATCTCAGTAACCATTGCCTTAGCAGGGGTAGGAAAGATTTTGGTGAGGTATGTTTGTGTATTTATTAATTTTTTACCTTCAAATGATGACTCTAAATTCATTTATTGACCATATTGCAAGTTTGTGTGCAACTTTCAGATTAAAAAATATCCAGCAAGATGCCAGGCATGCTAGTGCTCACCTTTAATCCCAGTACTGGGGAGGTAGAGGCAGGTGGATCTTTGTGAGATTGAGGCTACACTGGTTCACATTGTAATGTCCAGGCATGCTGGGACTAGGGAGACTGCCAAAAACAAAACAAAACAAAACAAATAAACAAAAAACAAAAAATATCCAGCAGAGCCAAGAAGGCCATTTATATTTCCACAGTGAAGGTAAACACCTGTATTTGAAGTAAACATGAAACATAAAACAGTATTTTACACATAGGAGATAATAGTATATATGAGATTATCATTTTTTTTGGATTGATCCAAAATATGTTTTAAAGATCCTAACAGTTTGCCATAAAGCAATCAGCATATAGACTTTTTGACCAAAGTAGTAAATTCTGAAGCACGTTCTGGAGAGTATAGATCTTACTGGGGGAAGGACAACAACCTTTGTCAAAAATCCATTTTATCTAGGTGTAGAAGCTCTGCATGCTTCATGGAATAGATGATCTGGGAGAGTAAAGATGGAGACCTTACTTCAGAGTAAATGTTGTTTACCTAAAATAGAATCAAAGGTTTTGTAGGATAAATGAAAAACAAGAATCTGATGTTTGTAGCATGCAAAATATACTTTATTTCTTTCCATAAATGTGTCTCCTTTAAGACACTCTCATGTACCGATATTCCTGGAATAACAGGAAATAGTAATTTCCTTGAAATTTTAAAGTCTTTCAAACTTTTCTTAAATTACACAAACTTTCTTTTTAAATTTTAGTTTTTAGGGTTTTTTTTTTTTTTTGTCTTTTTGAGACAAGGTCTCCCTGTAGCCCCAGCTGTCCTGAAACTCACTATGTAGACCAGGCTGGCCTCGAACTCACAAAGATCTGCCTGCCTCTGCCTCCCAAGTGCTGGGATTAAAGGTGTGCACCACTATGCCCGGCCAAATTTTAGTATTTTTATTTTATGTGTATGAGTGTATTGCCTGCTTGTGTGTAAGTGCACCCATGTCATACAATACCTGCGGAGGTCAGAAGGCATCAGATCCCCTGGAACTGGAGCTACAGATAATTGTTAACAACCATGTGGGTGCTGGGACTCAAACCTGGGTCCTCTGCAAGAGCAGTCAATGCTCTTAACTGCTGAGCCATCTCTCCAGCCCCTATGCAAACGTTTTTGCGCATTAGTGTTAGTTAAGAATCTGTTCTGAATTCTTACATAATTTTTCTTAGTGTTAAAAAACCGACCCTTCAAATTGTCACCTATTTTCCTCTCAAAACGCACACCCACTTCCATTCCAACCATAAGAGTTGGTATAACACTTTAGATAGTTGCTGAGCCATGTTAGACTTGTTAATATCCCAAATGGTTGAAAACTGGCCATATCCCTTTTGCTTTTTGTTTAAGATTTTCCATCTCTTTCCCAATCATGTGATTCACTAAAGTACTGGATAGAAGAAAAACTTACTGTTTTAAATAAGAAACAGAACCACTAAAGGAAGGATTTAACCCATGTGAGATTTTGAGTCTAAATCCTAAAAGCAAGACCCTTATCCAAACAGAGGTACTCATGAGAGCCATGTTCCACATTGGTTGTGACATTGCCTCTGTTTCCTTTAGCATTCTTAAAAGGAAAACTTGCATTTTATAAATTTTTGAGGAATATGGTTTCACTTTTTAATCATACTTTTTGTTTGCTTCTCTCTTCTTGATTTCTTGTCTATTTGGAAGGACTTTACTCTGTGGAGGTGGAGTAATTCATTAGTCTTGTGCAGTTGGCATCTCAGGGTGTCGGTAGTCTCTGCTTCGCCCTCCTGTCTCTGTTATGATTACTTTTCTTCCACTTCAACAGAGAAATGTCACACTTTACATCTATCCCAATAATCACTGGGACTTATTGTTCCTGGTTATACTCTCAGGGATGCATAGCTTTGGGAGACCAGATCCATGAAGGCAAGGCAAAATGCAATGGCAGAAAAGACTAAGATAGGGTTTTATCTTTGCAAGCCTCCTGGCATGCATCAACACCCCTTCCCCCATCTCACCGCTTGTCTGTCTCTGTCTGTGTTTCCATTTTTTACCTGATCACTTAAGTGTGTTTCTGTAAGAACATGTATCAGCCTGTTCATTCAAAAGAGAGAAAATGAAAGAAATGAAAGGTTTGGGGTTTTTCTTGTTGCTTAGGACCGAAAATAGTTCAAGTTGATTGATTTGTTGGTGAGGACTGGGTTTGCAAATTACTTCATATGGTTGATATCTCTACTCATTAATAATGGACATGTGTAGATCTAAGGTTTTCACAACAATATATTTTATGCATGTATACAGAATCTAAAACAACTGAAAATTCATTTTTGCAGTTATTTAAATTTCTGACAAGACATTTTAGTTCTTAAGAGATATGAAGACAAAAGTATCAGTCAGCAAGCAATCAGAGTTTAGAACCCGCAGAGTTGCTTGAACAGGAATGTTTAGTATAAAGAGTTATGATCTTTAGCAGAGGATTGGAGCAATGAGGGATTTGCTTGCATGAAGGAAGGGGTATTCTGAAGAATCTAGAAGGGAGGAATGGTAACCAGTATCCTGAGGGCTAAGTAGAGACCCAGGAAAAGCCTCCTCCTCACTCCCACCTCTACTCTCTTTCTCCAGGGTTGAGGAGAGGGCATGAGTATAGCTCCTGCATGGCAGAGAACTTGTGGCAATGCCATGATGCTGCAACCTTCTAGAAATAAAGCTTTTCAGCTAGAAATTTGCCTGCTGGAATTTACTGGCAATTTACCCTTTTGGGTGGCAGGGAAAGCTACTGGCAGAGTGGTGCCCCAGTGGAGGCAGGTGCCTCCAAATCACCTGAGAGGATTGCCAGGGAGGACACTGGGCCCTTGGTGCTGTTGATCACTGTACATTGAAAGCACCTGACAGTTCAGGAGCCTGGCTCCCAATTTGCTACTCTTGATGCAGCAACTGGACTCTTGGGAAGTTGAGTGTGCTGGGAAAACTGGTGCAGGAGAAGCTGTTCCCTCTTCAGTAACAGGTACTGGAGAAGCTCTGTATACTGGGGGAGTTTGATATAAGAAACCATGTACAAGACAGGAGCAGTTGCCCATGCTGAAAGAACCAGAAGGGGCAATGCCAGTGTGGTGGGTGATTCAGATGCTAGAGAAGTTGTGTGGGCAGAAGGATTCCACAGAGCAAGCCTGCTCTAATGAAGAAAGACCATCACCACCCCCACCCCTGCTCCACCCCACAGCTTTTCTCCTGTGCCTTCTACTGGCAAAACTTGATGTCATGCTAGCTCACAAAGGGAAAAAATTAAAATGGCCCAGGTCCATTTTAGCAGGAAAGGCAGTGATATGGATTTTAGGATGGGAGGCAACAAACTGATAACTGACACAAAGTCTCATTTGTTTTTCAAGATTCTTTTAGGAGTTCCTGATCAAGAGTATAAAACACACTTCTAGTGAATTGGCGGTATCATTGTTAGGGGCTCTCTAGAGCCAGTTGGCTCCATGCTTTGTATACAAAGCGCAGAAAACAATTTGTGTGTGTGTGTGTGTGTGTGTGTGTGTGTGTGTGTGTGTGTGGTTTTTGATAGAGGGAATGAAATGAGAGATGAAATTCAAGCAAAACAGATTAACCAGGAATACTGTGAGAAACAAAGTAGAAATAAAGTGCTGACTTTCAAAATGTCTAATCATTAGCAGTATGAATATTCTCCCCCAATTTTCATTTCAGTTACCTAATTCACATCTCTAGTATGTACATGTGTATATATATATATGTATATATATATATGTATAATCCTCTTTTTAAAATTCTGTGTATGTATGTATGATGTGTGTGTATTAGTATGTGTGAGTGTGGACACATGCCATAACTTGCATGTGGAGGTCAGAGTACAACCTTGGGTTTTGGTTCTCTCCTTCCACCCTGTTTGAGACAGGGTCGCTAGTCGTTCACTGCTATGTATGCCAGGCTAGCTGTCTCACAAGTGTCTGAGTTGTCCTGTCTTTGCCTCCCCTCTTCCCATAGGCACACAGGGATTGCAGACAACTGCACTGCTGCATCTGGCATTTACATGGGTTCTGAGGATCCTAACTCAGGGCCTCACATGCATGGAAAGCACTTCACCCACTGAGCTATTTCCCTAACTCATAATCTTCTTGTACTTGATTGACACATGTGTATTATACCTCCTTACAAAAATGTCTATTTAATTATTCTCATTGCATTTTCAAGCCTTCACTCTAAATTCTTTCCTTCTTTGAACAATATGCTGCTTTCTTACCTCTTCCCAAGTACAAGACCCTCATTCACAGACTTCTTTTAAAGCAAATATATACTTTATTCCACAGTTCATGTTTTCTTCACAGTCACGAATTTTACCAAGCTAGTTTATTTCTGGTACAGTACCACTGACTTTCAGTTAGTAAATTAACTGACAGAAGCAAGAATTTTCTCACCTCTGGTTATTTGAACTCTTAAAATTTCATAAAGTGAATTTATTATTCATCAGATAAACCAGAGAAGAGATTGGTAAAATAGTTTAATTCAGAAAATATTTTTGGCCACTTATATTGTGCTGCAACTGACATGTTGCCAGGTTCTATGGAACAAATAAGATAATTTTTCACCAAT